GGGGATTCTATACGGGATTATATAGAGGACTACATAGGGGACTACTATAGGGGTTATTAAGTGGTATGGCTCATATGATGGTTCCCGAAATAGAAGGGACCCAATGAAGAGGTTTCTAGGGGTGGTTTAGGAGGAAAGACTATTTAGGGTTCAGGGTTTCCCAAAATTAGGCGTGTCTGTTAGGGGGTCCCAAGAATAAGGATTGTAGTATTTTAGGGTCTATTTTGGGTCTCCCTATTTTGGAAAACTACCTTTTTATAGGTATAGGGACTCCAGCATCAGCAAGAATGGACTCAGGAACGTCGCAGCAGGATTCGGCCTCTTTTTCCGCTTCGGTCAGAAGCTCCACGCCGAAAACGGCAGGCTTTCGCCTCAGCAACCACTCATCCCAAGGCCCTAAACCCTAAACTCCTAAACCCTAAACCCCTAAACCCTAAACCCCTAAACCCTAGTAACTACTCCGAGGGGAGCTTCAAGACTTCTAAGAGTAGTTCCCTGACTGGGTAGAGCACCCAAAAAACTCCTGCCGCTTCCGTGATGGCTCGTTGCGATCCTTTGAGGTCCTGCGTGGCCTCACATGATGGCAATCGAGGTTTGGGCATTGCTCACTATGAAAGCGCAGGCAGCATGGTATAAACGTGAAGATCCACTACTGTGACATGTTGCCAACCATGTCACCAACTGCATCCTCAGCTGAAAGGACGAGGCGGCATCATTTCTAAACCTCAAGAGTTTTACAAATCTCAAGCCACGAGGAGGCCTGATGTCATCATCATCTTGCGGCACGGGCCGGGCAGCGAACTGCTTGTAGCTCTGGAACCTGGAAAAAATTAATCATCAAAAAAATCATAATCATAATACTAACCTCCAAATAGTAGTTTCCATTTTCTTTTCCATTACCCCCAATATAACCCCCCTATATCATATTATATCATTACCCCCCTCTAGACTAGCGCAAGGTGATTGTACTTCAGTTCGAGGGCACCACCCGGATGAGAATGCGTGGTTGCGGATCATCTCGCGCATTTGCCTGGGTAACGCACGCTTGCTGCTCGAGCCCTCTGCTCCTAAACCAGCGAAACACTTCCAGCTTCGATTTCATTCTGCATCTTTGTTCCTAGTTAATTATCCATAAGCCTATGAGCCATATACATATCCCCACATAAGCCACGGTTTCATTTTCCGTGTTCTTGATTCTCCCCTCTTGAAACAAGATCGTGCTTTGGAAGCTCCAGCTTGGCAGTATAGCGGGATTATGGAGGCTCCCTATAAGGAGTTATAGGGGATTCTGTTGAGGAACTGCCATATGGTTCTAAGAAGGGTAGGCTTAGGGGATTACCAGCCAAATTGCAAAATGTACTGGAAAGTGGGATTATGTAGGTCCTATGGTTTTCCAAGAATTGGGGGGGAGCGATCCCTTTTTTCCCTGCCTATGAACTCGCACATCTCTGCTCCTCCTGTCTAACCTATCTACCACCAGCACTATCGAAGTGCAACGCATGCTGCTGGGCAACGTTGTCAAGACGATCGTAGGGCATGAGCAGACTTGTGGCAATTGAATACTTGCTTTGGACTCTTGGTGTCCCAAATCCCACATCAGACAGGTTTCAGAAGAACCCAGCTGATTGGCTGAAGCCCAAAATGCTTGTATCAAACACATGGAAGAAGCTTGGTCCCGGACTGCTGCGTGAAAGCCCTTGCAACATTTCATGGGTGCAGTAACAAGGAAAATCCCCTAAACCCTAAACCCTAAACCGTGTTGAGCAAGATCCTGCTGGTCTTGTAAGACCCTCGGCCGTAAGGTGGCATACGCACCAGCGGCAATGGAAAATAAAATGGAAACT